TTCAACACTTTTGCTCCAGGCTACTTTTCCTGGCCCCAGAAAGTATATCTTGATTACCAAGCTTGCACAGTCCATGCTGGTTGACACAGGATGATTCCTAATGAGGACAGGACCCACCTTTTCTCCTTCATTCAGGTGGAATTTATTCGCCATCTGTACTGTCAGAGCTAAATTTTATATTTATAATCACTGCGACTTGAGAATATGCTGCTGCTGCTGCTGCGTCGTTTCAGTCGTGTCTGACTCTGTGTGGCCCCGTAGACGGCAGCCCACCAGGCTTCCCCGTCCCTGGGATTCTCCAGGCAAGAATACTGGAGTGGGTTGCCATTGCCTTCTCCAGAGGATATGTTAAAACTATTTAACTGATACTCATTTTGGTGTAAATACTAAGTAGCCTTTTTACCCACTCATTAAATTTAACCACCACACAAATCATGAAAACTCTCCAAAACTCATCATAAATGACAATGTTATATGTTTTATTTTTAATCAAGTAATTTCTTTAAACCTCAAAATATCCATAATTGACAGAATAAGACACTAGGCATGAGATGATAATATAAAATCCACGGTCTGCAGAAAGGCAAACAGTACTTGTAGTCCATCGAGATGACTGTACCCAAGTAAACGCCATTCTGACCATCTATTCCTTTTTTGTCCTTTAAAAACATACAGTTCAAGTGTTTTTTATTTTCACTTGTAAACAACATGAGCCAAAATGGACAATGAGGTCATCTAAAGACTACACAGGATAATTGTAAAACACTAGATAAAACACCATATTAAAGTCATATAGAAATCAGTGTTCACTTTGGTCTCTATTGTGGTTAAAGTTAATACCAAAAAAGCAATACATACTAGTTAAAGCCAGCTGGTGGTGGGTGCCAGTGGTTGGTAGCTGTAAGTAATTCAAGAGGTAGTCAACACCATCGTTTTCAAGCTGGTTAACTCTCACACATGTGAAGCCACAGATATATTCAATGTTGCGATAGATTCTCAGTGTACAGTACTTGACCATAACTTTGCAGCTTTGCTCCAAACAGACAATTTAACAATGATTCAGAGGTCAACCTCTCACTCTAACTGAACTATGACACAGATCACACAACCACCACATCTGAAAGAGGCTGTTGACAGCGATGTAAGACAGAATTTGATGCTTGTAACAAGTTGTTCTTCCCTAAAACAAATAAATCTCATTAAGACATCTAGAAAATTAAAATTCGTGCAGCCGCACGTGTACACACTTTCCCAAATTTTATAACCAAAGGGGAAATACACATATATATTTTATGATAAACATTTCTTAGAGAAAACAGATAAATTAATTTAAATTATCTTTAAGACTTAATGAGATTTTCCATGTCCTGTATAACTCATCTTACAGTGAAAGTTACAAAGTCTATTAACACTTATGGGCTCCTATTCACAAACTACATACAACTAGCAGTAACTTGGGGCCACATTGGTGCAAAATAAAACTGGGCCAAAAAAAATATATCGGCAATAGAAACACCTTTATATTTATTTGTAGATGGACCAATGCTAATAACATGATGTTTCTTGATCTTTTCCCATACATTGCACGCCAAATTTTCCAAGTTATAAGCAGGTAAAAATCTTTCTAAGTCTTTCAACTGTAAAAATACATCCAAAGGCTTCGAGTAAAGACGAAAAATGCAAGTATAAAAATTTCCTACTATAACCTGCCACGTAGCAATGAATAGCTCACAGGGCTAGGAGACCGGTGGTGCATCTTTTCCTAGGAATTACATTTGTGTTGATGTGGGTGGGGAGAGGTCAAAGGGGAACTATTTCACAGACCTCCTGCCCAACCCATTAGCAACTCCAGTAAACTGATGCTTCACACAGATCCTACCCCTCAGTAGCTAGAAAGGGCATTGCACGTCCACTGTATGTTCACTCCTTGGCAGCCAGTGCTGTTAATTATGTGCCTGGACAACAATGCTGCAATCACTTGGCCTCAGGGCAGCACAGACATAAACGAAGGAGATTGGCATCTTTGATACTTTCGCCCAGCACACATACACTCATACAAGTAACCTCACTTCCTGACGTCTTCCCACTACCGACCTCTGGGCAAAGCAGCTATTTCAAAGATTGGCTTGTGCTCTGTTTTGCTTCAGCAGAAGAGTCTATGTCTTTAAATACATGGTCATTTGAAGGAAATGCTCTGAGACTTTGCTAACTAGATGAGATGCTTCCTTATTCACAAGTGTTTGTCAGAAACATGCAGTTATGAATTGCTATCTATACTCTATAGATAAAAAGATTCTGTACCAGAGAATTATCAGCCACTGTAAGGCTGGAGCAGCATAAAGGTGTGCTATGCATCAACTATGAGGTAGCCTTTTGCTGTAAACAGAATATTTCACCCATGTAAATGGACACTGTGCTTACGTCAGTGATATTCACATCTGAAAGGAGTGGAGGAAGTCTCCTTGAGTAATTTTCACATGAAATTAAAAAAGGAGAGCTGATAATTGATATTTGGACATTTTGATCTATGTCAAACTCAGAGGTAGTTATTACTAACACCAGTACATAATACTTACATAAAGGTCTAAGTTATTTGGTTTGTTTTGAGTAAGCAGGACTGTAGACTATTCTGTAAAGAAACAACAATTATTATACGGTATGTTCCCTGAGCGAAGTTCTTTGTCCTGAGTATGTTTATGTAATAGTGATAATATTCTTATATAAAAAATAAACCCCAACTTTTCATCAAAGATAGGTTTGGTATGTGCTTAGTTCAGTCTGGTGAGATGCTGAAAAATGATTTCAAATTGCACCCATAAGGTCCACAGTTATAAAATGTATCTTTTTTTAAATCGTGATCTCAGCTCTGAACTTTTTATATGTAAACAGGGAATGTCCAATTCTCAAGTCCATAATTTCCTATTTCTAATAAGGTCAAGGAACTTTGGTTTGAATATTCAAAGTGACTTATTATATTTTGCATTTTTACTGTTAACCTGCTTATTATACCTGCTAAAAATTAAGCAATGCCACTTTGATTTGTCTACATAATTTAAATACGCTTACACTCCTCACATAAGGCAAGGAAGTACTTCTCTATAGCTATTTATCACATTCAATATCGTCAAAGGTCAGCTTTGCATCACAGCATACTGAGATTTCAGTACATCCCATGGAGACTCTCACAAACACTGTCAACTCAAGCTGAGTTGGGAAGGGCTGGTAGCCCAGCCCCAGGCTCGCTTGCTCTCCTTCCGCGTGGCTTGCTTGCTGAAACGGGGGCAAAACCGTACAACAAGTCTCCCTCGGCAGGACAAGTCGGGAGGGAGCAGAAACTGTTCAGCAGAATGTGTCTCATTTGAATCATGCTATTTTCCGTTTCTGATTATCTGAGCTTACACCAACAGGCTCATGCAAGACTCTGTATTTACTGCCAATGTTAAGCCTTACTACTAATTGGTACCTTCTTGGAGATGTTCCCAAAATTCATCCGTAAGATCTAGAACCAGGATGACAGCAAAATGAATGTTTTTCATGACTGGAAGCTGAAGGGACCAATACTGTGGTTGGCCCCTAGCCATTGACACTACTGTCTCTGTATCCATCACTACTGTCTCTGTATCCATCACTGAATGCTTAACCCGAATCTCCCATATCCGTCCCTTCAGTAGCAGTCATGAGGGAATTCTCGTAAGATCAGCTCTATTGTATAAGAAACACTCCAAAAAAAAAAAAAAAAAAGAAACACTCCACTCTCTGGTAGGAGAGATTTGGGAACCTTTCTCCCCAGGCTCGTCACTCTAGTCGCCTGCAACCAAACATGATGCTTTTTCATATTATTCAAGGTCATACATCATGGGCAATTGTGAGCATCCACTCAATATTCATCCTCAACCCTGGCATTTTACTGTGCTGTTTGGCGTGTTTGTTTTAGAAACAAGTTAGGTAACTCTCCAGGGGGAATAAAAACAGCCACCAAAAACATACACCCAACGACTGGAGTTTTCCTCCAAGGTCTCAGTAGTAAACACGGAGGCCCCTGCTCGAAGTGATGGTTAGAAGGATTGACTCAGTCAAGGGGAGCTGCTGTCGCCACAGTCCCTCAAAAACCTCACAACAGGTAAGAGATTACAATGAGCTGGTATCAAAATACCAGTGAAAACAATCACATCACTACATTTATACATTGCCCTCCCCCTTCATTTCTCTGAATAGGCATCTAATTTACAATCAAAACACTGGAATTGAAAACACTGAAATATCGGCACAGAGATTACACATTCATTGTCTTTTCTGGTTTGTATCCCAGATTCAAAAAAGCTTAAACGGCAGTCGGAGGCATATGGAGTTAAGGTACTGCCTTGAAAAGGGGTGGGGTGGGGGGATACACTGTACAGATACCAAGAAAAAGAGGCAATCCCAAATTCGGGAGAACTGATGTTTTTAAAAACCTTTAGTACCATTTGACTGGCAGCTCTGAGATCTAAAGTATATCCTTTGGTTCACATAAAAGGTAACAGTCTTTTTTTTTTTTTCTCTAAGGTAATATAAAGGGAATGGTATTTCAAGAAAAACTCCAAGGGTTATTTTCAAAACCATCTAAAAATGCTTCACTGAGTTTTCGATTCTTGCGGGATGTCCAATTCTGGGAGGGAGGGTGTGTGCGTCTATCTCCATACACACATATATAAAGACAAGCCCTCTTTATATATATGTCTACATTCTAAAGAAAATCCTCCTACACACACACAGACTCAGGCTCGCTCCCTCTCACACGTGTACATACAGATAACAGCATCTCATCCTCTGAGTCACGTAACACATGACACCCTGCTCCAAGGTAATTTGCTTAGAGTGATTTGTCTGTTTAAAAAAATTCACAGTTCCTCAACAGTAGTTAAAATCCCAGGTCAGCTGCGGTATGTGAAATACTGTTCCCCTGAATCTGCATGAGGTAGACTTCCCCACCGGGGAGAGAGCGCGCTGATGTTAGAGAAGGGCTATGTCTTTTTCCTTTTCTGAACGGAAGGCCCCTTTTTGCTCTGTTCCTCTGCTGCCGCGGACGCCCTGGTGGAGGAAGCTTCTGGCGGGGACCTGCAGGGCCGCTCTGAGGGCTCCTGGAAGGATGCGCAGCCGGGCCCTGCGCCCGCCTCCCGAGGGGCCGCCGACGCGCACGGCTGCGGCTCTGCCTCCTGTCTTCCCTGAGAACTGGCGGGCGGCGGCCCCGCAGTCTTGTGCGGGCAGTTCGCCACCATGTGCGTGATGCTCTGGCAGCAATGGCACTTCTTTGGCTGAGGAGGTAGACTACATTCCTTAGCATGATGATCAAGGCCACCACAGTTGTAGCATCTGCAGCGAGAACAATGGGAAACATCTTAAGGAGGAGCAGGTATATCACAAAATATGTCAGAAATCAAAAATGCGCTAAAATATAAAGCCTGTCAGAGAGATCGGCTGACTTCAGCATGTCTTCTTCACACACACACACACACACACACACACACGTTTTGTATTAAACACAAAAGTCAATGAAAAACCAGAATCTGAAAGCATGAAAGACCAATCATTCCACAGATAAAAGACTCCTTGGAGATTCGAGTCAGGTTATTGTAAAGGAAGGTTAGTCCACTAGAGGGCAGTCGCGTTCAACAAAAAAAACCCACCAGCTAGCTTGAAAAAAAGTTTAAACACCCAGCAGTTGACTTAAAATGCAACACCAATTCCATCAGCAAATGGAAAAACTATAGAGCAAATTAAATTTTATGAGTTTAACAGTTCTTCGGGTGTTTCCACAACCATTATTTTGGCTATGGAAATTAGTTGAACTGGAAGAATTTTTTTTTCCTTTTGCACAAATGAGTGCAGTGAAATTTGATAAATAAAAAAGTCAGACATCTATGGTGAATATCTGGGAAATTGCCAAGTAATATTAGAGCAAGACGGAAAGTGTCTGATTCAGAAGAATGCTATATAAAAGAAAGCTTCTAGATACCTACGTCAGATTAATAAAGGCTGATGCTAGTTCAGGAACAGGAAAAACTTTCTGTAAGAAATTAAGTTTTCCTTCAGGGTAAATTCTAAATTGAGATAAATATAAATCCATCTTTAATTAATAAATGAATGCGCACTGGGGGCACAGCTTGTAGTACTATGTTTGAAATTTTGACTAAGATTCTAAAAGCTGAGAAGTTATTCAGAAGATATATTTCAATCAGACTTTCTTTAAAAATTTCATATTAAAAACAATAAAACATCAAGTGGAGAAAATAAATTTTTATATTTGTGAAGGTTTTTAATCTACTTAGTTACTTAATACAAAATTTGTCTACAAATGAAATGTTTTAAGGGTTTTTCTAAATTTATTCTCCAAATACATTTATGATTCCATTAATTCTCATCATGAAATACACACAATAGGTCATTTTACAAAATGAAGACAAAACAGGTGGTAACTCTGGGAATCAGCTTAAGATCATAATGACAAAAGAGTTAGTTATAGTTAACTAGCCAGCTAGTATGTGTGAGACTAGCAAGCTTAGTAACTTATATTACCAATATTCCCAAAACAAGCTACTACTATTAACCTACTGGGAAGTACATGTAGGATTGTTGTTACTGTCACTGTTTAGTCGCTAAGTCATGTCTGATGACCCCATGGACTACATATATAGCTCATCAGGCTCCTCTCTCTATGCCATTTCCCAGGCAAGAATACTGGAGCTGGTATGCCATTTCCTTCCCCAGGGGATCTTCTCAACCCAAGGATTGGACACACATCTCATGCATTGGCCGGCAGATTCTTTAGCCCACGTGGGACACCTGTTAATTAAGTAGATGGGAGGAATTCTTTCAAAACACACATATATATCAAACCATCACAAGGTACACTTTAAAAATCTTACAGTTTTACTTGTTGACTACATTTCAATAAACTGAGGTGGGGATGGGCCTTAGAATGTTTCCCTTAGAGGACTTTGTGCCACCTTAACACTTTCTCTTCTCTCTTCGTTCATTTAATGTTGCTACTTAATTCGCTGGGATAGAAACTCGTTGAGACAAAGGCAGGAAGCTTCAGCTCGGTTCTAGCTCTGCTGTTCACGGACTCCCCGTCTCACTCGCAAGTCAGTGCTGGGACTTGACATTTCTTGCTTCTCTTCCACCTGTATCTATGGCCTTGGTGTCTCTCTACCTTCATAATGTGCAACTCGGGCTGATTTTGTGACTTTCTCCAAGAAGTGTCTGCCAGCCCTGTACTGGACAATGGGAGGTAGAAAAGACCCAGATTTATCTAGAGTTGGAACCGGGAAGGTGGATGGTGGGAAGCGAAAAAAGGATGAGGGAGACTAGTTTGCTCAAAAAGCGCTCTTTAAATGAGCCAGTCCAAGCTGGGAAGAGAGACTCCTGAGACCAGAAGCAGCGAGAGTCTCAATCTTCTCTAATTTCATTACCATATCAATTATATAATCTCAACTCCAGAATCTCTGGCATTGAGGTTACATCATAATTATCAATTATTAATAATGAAATTATATAGTAATTATCACTCAATTGCCCCACGCAATCCTAGCATATCCAAAGCTGTTGGCAGAGAAAATCTGTTTAACATTATTCTGTTCTACCTCCTGAATAATATATGTGTTAATTACACAATTAAACAATTTTCTGATAATTGGCAAATAACCATATTGAATTTAAGGCTTTCATAGAAAAAAATAAGACAATTGGAAAATGATGTGATCATCTAGAGGGATGATAAAATAATGAAATAAATAATGGCTATTTCATCATCCTTGTTATTGCATTGCCCAAACTACTATCTGATCTTTCCAGAAGGTATAAAAGACATCAGGAGACAGGAATTTTGTTGTCTTTTTTTCTAACTCTTTATTGAACACAGTTAAAAATTCAAAAATTTTTGTTTTCTGCATAATAGCAAAGAGAAAAAAACTGACAAGACATTTTGCAATTGTTAAGATAGAAAAAAAACCACAAAAAGACAGTCAGTAATACTACAGACTCTAACAATGATGATGAAATTAATCATGTAAGCTAAATCTCAGATTATGAGTCTTCACATACTATATCCTAGAAATATACTTTATCAAACTCAAGAATCAATGACTGAATAATATATATCTATGGAAAAAAGGAAATTCGTTACTTAGTTAATTCTTCAGGGAGGATGTCATCAAGCAATATTTTTTGATGATACATGTTTGCTAAAAGGACATGCAACAGTATTCTTTCACCTTTTATCAAGTTTGTGCTAGGGAATTTACTTGACATGGTTCATAAATGGAAAAATGCTGAGGCACTTACTCAAAGGAGATAAGTAGCACAGAAATGAAAAATCTCACTGAACTGATCATTCTAGTCATATTTAGGAATATATATTTTATCTTCTAAAATAAGGTATAGAGTTTTTTTGGTTTTTTTTTTTACATAGCAAACACTAGGATAATGAACACCCTGCTTCGCCATTTATCAATATTACCTTGTAAATTTTAGAATAATGGAATCACAAGATGGGCTTTTTTTTCCCCCAGTAATTAACAAATACTTATGTCAGGAAAAAACAGTATCATATCTTCAAAAATTAAAGGGAAAAAATAAGAAATCACTTTCTGGATTAAATTATTTATTATATACTTTAATATAATAAATTAATGAAACATTACAAAGCAGATTCAATATTGTTTTGGTGGTATGTTCTCAGAGATAATGCAAAATTAAACAATAAAAATTACTAATGCTTCAAATTCAGGATCCCCAAATAGAGTCTTAAAATGGTATCTTTGAGATGTATAAGCCTATTACTTATAATAATGCTTTTCCACATAGTTCTACCTTATAAGAGCAAAGTGAATTCTTAAATTTGCCCATCTATAAAATACCTCCTTCTGAATTAAACTCACTTCCTTGAGGATAACACCCACTTAGGCACTCATTTCTGAAGAGAAAGAAAATAGGTTAAGGCTGGGTAACAGAGCCGCTCTCCCACGGACACATCAATTTCATCAGTCACTGTGGAATGCACACTGTTATCCAATTCAGGGAGCCACTTGCCCGCTCATCTACCAAGGGCCTCATGTCTGGATTTCATTTTTTTTCAAATGGGGTCTTCCATTATATTCCATATGTACATTTACCACTACATTTATTTGGGTTCTGAAAGTTACTTTTAAGGACACTGCATCATTTTGGTTTCCTTGCATTTTGATCTGCATAGTTAATTCAATCCCTTAGCTTTTCAGATTGGTTCTATGATTAGGCCAGACTGCCTTCCATGATGAAAAGACTTGCATTCAGTATATATGTGCTTAGCTTTAAAGGGAGGAGTGGTATGTATTCTCCTCTTCTATTTAATCATTCAGTGCCAATCACTCTTCCTAAGAGTGCAGATCACACCCCATTAGGAAACCGCTTCCTTCTCTAGGGACTGACACCAAAATGGAACAGCTCACAAATAATATCACACCACATTCTCCATACAAAGCTCTGCATGATACTAGCCTCCTTTGTTCACTCTCGCAACCCCTCCAAATCAGTTTAATTTGAATGAATTTTATGTTATGATGCGAGCATTAAAACAAGTCCCAGAAGTGATTTTAAAAAATGAGGAGTGACACTCCATAGACAGAAATCCAGTTTTGTTTGTCTAAAAATGTAACAGAAAAAAAAAAAAATACAATGTAGGTGCTTCTAAATATTTGAAAGTCTTAATAAGAAGATTTATAGAAACTTATATTCTGAGAGCTAAGAGGGAAGCATTAAGGATAATGATAGAGGCACTTCCCTGGTGATCCAGTGGCTAAGATTCCACGTTCCCAGTGCAGGGGGTCTGGGTTTGATACCTGGTCAGGGAACTAGATCCCACATGCTGCAACGAAAAGTTCACATGCACCAACTGAAGATCCCACGTGCTACAACTAAGACCAGGTGCAGCCAAATAAATGAATATGAAAAGAAAAAAGATAAAGACACAGTGATCTGTACGCTTCTCAAGAGGAAGGAAATGTTGAGAGAACCTAAGTAAGGCAATCTCAGTGAAAGAGAACAAAGTGGGAAAAGTGCAGAAAAACGGCATGAAGGAGGGATAAATACAGGAAAGGAGTACATAAAAATCCCTGGAAAAGAGAGATGAAAGAAAAGATCAACCAAATTTCAAAATGGAAGTCCAGAGGGGTAAAGAAAAGTCAGGAAATGTGGTTCATGAACGTTTTCTAACTCTCCCCTTGGTATTCTGGGGAGTCCTATGGAGTGAATAAGCTATACCCAGTTGTGAATTTAGGTTTTTGGGAAACTTTCAGACAAAATGGGGCCTTCTGGAACGTTGGCCTAGGAGTCTG